TCTTGGCATCAGCAGGAACAGGGCCTTCAAGTCAAAGATAAGCTTTCTGTGAAGAGCCACATGGGAAAGGAGGAGCTTGCTTTTGTTTCTCTTTTCAGGATTTGGTTTGTGGCCAAGTAAATGAAGTGCTTTTTAATGCTCTCTGACTTAACTGGGTAACAGAGTTATTAAAAAAGAATGACATTTTTATACCAATGCCATTAGATGTATTCTGATGCCTTTTCTTGTTTGTTGGTTCAGGGGATTTTTAGTTCTCTGAAAATACTGCAGATATATGTGTTTATTGGTAGTGTTAAATCGATGTTAGAATAACTCCATCCTAATAGAAGCACGAAAACCTGAGATCAGGCCTTTGCACTGTAAACCAACAACTGTACAATTAGCACTTCTTACAGGAAAGGTGCTTATCTAACCCAGCCTTTAATATGCGTTCATCAAACAGCATAAAAATCCTTTCTTTCCAGAAGGATTTTGTCTGGGTCTTTTTGGCAATGGTAATTCTTTTCATGGGATTTTGTTCCTGCACTTTGGAGGTCAGACCATATTTATTCAAAGCAAAAAATAGTCTTCTGTTAGCTTAACAGTACTTCAGTATTTTGAAATTCTTCTGACTTTTTATGAATCTAGAGTGAAGCAATGGAATTGGCTCAGTCAGAAGGGCTTGCCAGCAAAGCAAGAACATTAGTAAGGAAGGTGAATGTTTAACTATAGCTTAATACTCTGCTCAATATAGAAAGAATTCATCAATCACTATTGATCTCTATAATGTGATCATTTAAAAGGCATAAGCAGACATTGACTTGAAATACCCAAACCTGGTCAAGTATTTTGTCAAAGGAGGTAATAGTAGACAATCAGATAATCAGCAACTTCAGCAAGGCTCTGAAAACTCACTGACATTAATAAGAAAAGGAAAATGTGCAAAAAGGATGAAGGGGAGGGGGGGAATACAAAAAGGGTTATTGCTGAAAAGTTGCAAGAAAAACTCATTGAAAATATTTTACTGTGGTGACTCTGTCTGGATACCAGTCAGGAAGAGCTCACACGGAGAGGAAGATGGATTCCTAGAGATGTGTTAGGATTTTACCCATGTTTGTTTTCCATTGCTGACCAGCTGTATATGAACTGTGTCCTGGGGAATGGAGGGAGAATACAGGAGAATGCCAGAACCTGTCACTTTTCTTGTAAATCCTCAGCTCCTAGTGATGCTGTCTATCCCAAAGAGCACTGTGGGAAAGCCATTGTTTTACTAAACTATTTACCCACATTACTCTTTTGTATTCCAGGTTTTCAGTTCACGATTGCAAAATAATCAGCTGACCCCCAATGTCAGTAGTGCTGTTGTGAAGGGATTAATCTGTTTTCTCTCTTATGTGTTTGGACATTTTTTAATAGGGATCTTGGTCATCTAATTACATTGTCTGATTTAAAAGAATACAGGAAAGCCCTGATACTGCTGCAGTTCAGACTTTTAGGATATAGCAGCATCAGATCACTTCATAGAATGATAGAATGGTCAGAGCTGGAAGGAACCTTACAGCTCATCTAGTTCCACCCTCCTGCCATGGGCAGGGACACCTTCCACTAGAGCAGGTTGCTCAAAGCCCCTCTGTCCAACCTGGCCTTGAACACTGCCAGGGATGGGGCAGCCACAGCTTCTCTGGGCAACCTGTGCCAGGGTCTCAGCACCCTCCCAGGGAAGAACTTCTTCCTAATTACTAATCTAAATCTTCCCTCTTTTGGTTTAAAACCATTCCCCCTTGTCCTCTGAAGTCCTTATCATGTCCTTCCATATCATGGAGTTTGACAAATGGTGTTTGCCTGAAATTAGTTTTAGACTAATGTAATTAATTGCTGGTTAATGGCAATGTCTGGAATTTAATTTTCTATGTTTCTTTTCTTTTTTTTTTTTTTTAAGCCACCTTCCTCACCAGAAGATAATCCTTTTTTGTTTGAAGTGATTACAAGTTTTGCTGTTGAGTTAAATAGAGCAAATTATCATATACTCAGGTAGATACAGACTGTAGGAACTTTTGCAGTGGGCTGTTCATTATCTTTTATGCTGTTTTCAGCATTTTTAAGTCTATTGACATGTTTGCACTTGCCTGAAGTAGCAATGAAGAGGCTAAGTTGACAGAAAAACTGAAGGCATTAAAATTGCAAGAGGGAATACTTGGTAATAAGTAGGCTTATGTAAAAATTCCTGAAGTATGAAAAGATGTGACAATAGAACTTAGTTTTCAATGGTTCTTTCCAATAAATGTATAGTCTGAGATATGTGCTGAGGAATGGTAATACACTTATGCTATTCCATGTTCTGAGTGCAATATTAAGTATAGCTCTTCTCCATCACATTAGCTGGTGGGTTTTTTCCATTTTATGGAAGTAGTTGTATAATTTTATATTAATTTATGTATTTATGGCACACTAATGTTTAATACTTTAAATCATGTCATTATCATAGTTAGAAAAACTTCATGAAAAAAATTGTATTATATTGATTATTAGCAGCAAAATTTAACAAGTTTTTTCTATCATCATGTTGAGATTGTTGATGTTTGTTGATCTTATTTTCAGGATGCTGGCATGTACACCCTTCACAGTAATGTCTTACTTTTTTATGTGGTACCTGCCTCCTTTTGTATCAGGAAGAGTTGTATGGTACTTGACTTTCTACTGCCTTTTCGAAGCACTGACCACAGTAAGTAGATTACAGGCCATGATGTTCTCAGCAGCAACTTACTTGTTTTCTGTCTATGTTAATGCATTCAGATTTAGTAAATTGAAATTTAGAAAAACTTCACAGTTGATGTCAACTTCCAGTGAGTTTAAGGGAAAGGCAGATGTCTCTGCTGGTTGGTGGTCTCTGCCAATGCTTTTTTTTGCATATGACTTCCTAACTCAGAGAGATTACTTTCAGTCACTTTCATTGGCAGTGCCCTAGATACTCAACTCGTTGTATAGATCCACAGAGAAACTCAGATTTTTGATTCCTGATTCCAGTAAGATATAGAACTTCCCATAACTTCAATTTTCAGGAGAGGATTAGGAGACTGAATATGTTTGTGGCTCTAGTTCTGAGTGTTTTGCGTCAAGCTAGAAGGCAATGGAAAGTCAGGGTAGGAAGGCTGAAATAGTACTGATAGTGTGGTCATCATGATATTTCTGTCTGGGTAGAAGACTTTGAGCACATGATTCTTTTTTAATACAGCCCAGAACTTGCAATATTTATGCAGAAGCCATCATTTCAGTGCATCCCAAAGAACTTCTCTGACACATTCCATAGTGTACTTGTAAGGGTTGCATCTGTCTGTTTTGTCTTGTAGCCAGTATCAAGGTGAAACAAGGTCCTTTCTGTGCAAAGCAGTATCACACAGCAGATGAGGACTTGAAGTGCTACAGCTGCATTGCAATTTATCAGGGTGTATCCTGGCTGATGGAATTTCACTGGATCACATCTTGGAAAAGTGGTTCCCAGACATTTATTTCTTGTTTGACTTTGGCTTTTCTCCTCTTTATGTGTCTGTTGGACCTGGGAATTCTGTATTCCTGTATTAAGCTGAAATGTTTCCCTAGGTCCTTTGTTTTCTCCGTAGAAAGATGGTGCAGAATACATCCATAATTGCTTAAAATAATTTTCTTCCCTCTCTCTTTTTGAAGGAAAACCACAGGTTTTCCATGTCAGAGCTTTGAAAATGTGTACACTTGCAATGTTTGATGGAGGTGAACAGAAATGCATTTTGTATGAACAGAGTAGGATGAGGATTACAAACATTAGTTAGTTTGCCTACAGATCTCTGTGGTGTTTCCACCACTTGAACTTGACTGTTCAAGCAGATTCATGTCACGCTTCCACTTCACAGTAGTCTGAGAGCTTGGCCTGTATGTTCCAAGATTTTAGAAGTGATTTTCATTTAAGTTCAACTCTATGAGGACAGGGTCCCACTCACATCATGACCATCCAAAAATAAGGTCAAGCCTTTAATCTTCAGTAGTTATTTTCAGTGAAGTACTAATGGAGATAAGGCTTCTCCTGCAATAAAAGTGGGGCTCATTTACCCAGCATTGAAATAAATATTGCCAGTGCCTTGTTTCCACCCAGATTTTACAGCAAGGTATCAATGGCATACTAGATACAGTGCTGTAAAAACAAACAAGCAACACTCCTACCTTTTTGTCAGTGCATGCACACAGCAACTGGGAGTTTCTACCTATTCTTTAATTAAGGAGTGAGTGGCAAAATGGTGCTGAAAAGAAAGTAGTTTTCACAGTTATCCCCTGGAATTCCATAGTGAGACAGATATTTGAAATACTTTGCTGATTCAAGTCTTCTGTCTTGAATAAAGTGGAAAATTGTGTTGTCTTCATTATGGCTTTGCTTCCTGATATTTAGCTCTAGCTAGGAACATGATAATTTCCTAGCACAAAGAAGACTAGATGTTTTATAGCCTAGCTATGAAGGAGACTTTCCCAAGGAAGCTGAAGGAGCACAGCATTAAGGTAAAGCCTGTTAGTAATTTATTATTTACTATTTGTGTTATGAAAGATACTTTTTCCCTTTCATATACTTTACAAATCAGAAAGAAAAGAGAACGCTAAAAAGTACAGCGTTCTTAATATGTGAATTCCAAGGTGGCATTAAACAATTTTCCTGGATATAAAAGGAATACAGCATCTACCCTGACATTTCCTAAGTGATGTTCTTTCTTTACATAGCTATTCCAAGTACCGTACTCTGCCCTCACCATGTTTCTCAGCACAGACCAGAAGGAGAGAGATTCTGCAACAGCGTACCGTGAGTGTGGTCTGGGCTTTATCATGTGGATTAGGGCTGAAATTTATTTCAAATCATTCTTTATCTATAGGAAGTTCCTAATGGTTTGTGTCCCTAAACTGTTTTTTTTATGAGATGTTTAGTATCTGATGAAAACTGTTTTGCCTTGTAAATGCTTAATTTTTCTAGCTAAATAGGCAACATTATTTTTAAGTTGTCTGATTGGCTACAAACTCTTTCTGGTTTATTGCTAGCCAGGCAAAACAATAAAAATCAGACTTACCCAAGCCAGGGTAAGGAATAATGATTTAATTTAAAGGTGATTTTTAGGGGAAAAATCAAAGTGCTGGTCTTCTTTAACATGGTCTAGTGTGAGGCGTCCCTACCCATGGCAGGGGGTTAGAACTAGATGATCTTAAGGTCCTTTCCAACCCAAACCATTCTATGATTCAATTAAGGAAAGTCTAAAACTAATTTTAAGGTTTTTTGTTTGTTCGTTTGTTTTTTTCCTGTTCAGATTTCTTTAGGTTTATGTGTTTTATGGTATAAATTCAAATCCCAAACCTATTTTCTCTGATAAAATTTCTAGAACTCATAGAACCAACACAATTAGCTTCATCAGAAAAGGAGAGTAATTTTGTATGCATGTTCACACCAACTGAAATCTCTCTTTTCAGTTCATTTGTGTTTATTTAATTCTAATTTAAACTAGGTAGTTTAAGAACAGATCTTGCTGTGATATAACTAGTACTCTGTATTCATTAAATGAATGAGGGCTTCCAGACCATATCTCTGGCTCTTCAACAATCAAAACCAGACAGTTTTTGTTTCGAATCAAATTGATCAGACCAAAAAAGTGCAATAAAAGTATTTTCAAGGTTTCCTGTATAGATCATAAATTGAACATAAGAACAGTTTCTTCTCATCCTGGTCTCTCTGTTCTCACACCTTATTTCCTTTGTAACTGCTGTCTCTCGTGGCCACCAACATTAAGCAAGGTAAAGAGAAAAGAGTCAAATACCACATTAAATACTTTTTTATGTTTTAACTTGTCCTTCAGTGTTGCTTTAGAGTAACTGTTGTATCAGTTTTCTTGTCCTGGCAAGACCCCTTTTCTCTTCCATTAGTCCTAACCCTCAGCTACTTGCTTGAGTATGTTGAAAACTAGACCATAGAGGCACAATGAAATGGCCAGAAGTGCCAAAAAAGTAATGTCAGAAATTCTAGATACAGCTTCCCCTGAGCAACCCAATCCCTTTCCAGCACATGGAACAGTTGCAATTTGCATTATCATCAACAATCTCAAGAGAAAGTCTGGGCTAGCAGTCACAGGACAGGACTGAACAGTGGGAGATTCCAGTTGTGTTATATTCTTTGGCACTGACTGTATTCTGAGTCATCTGGACTAAACTCTAACTAAATCCATGTACCTAGTGTTTTCTATTGTCTGGTTTTATGTCTTCAGAGGCTGTGATCCAAATAAATGTACTTTCCTATGTGCTAGTCCCATGCAAGGCTTCACGGGCACATGAAATTTGTGCTCATAAAAGCTGTTGAACTCCATGGCTGAGAGGTTACACATTTATAGTGTCATACTATCGTTCAGAAAGGCTTTAACTTTTGAGAGTACAGCTGTTCTCCTAAGCCAAGTTAGGGTGATTAAATGAACCATGGTTTTGACTTCCCAAATGTTGATATTTTTGTATATTTTGAAATTATGTTTGTTTGGAGCAAGTTTTCTTGCAATGGCAATGATTACATAAGAATATCTCCACCCGCCCCCCCCCCCCCCTCCAATTTTTAAGCAAGTGTTTTACTTAAATACTTTTGCCTCTCTCTGGGTTTCATAGAGAATTCTTCTTGTTGATAGACTTTCTTGGATGCAGTCAGTCGTTCAGGCATTTCTTCAATGCTTTAAAGAAAACCAGCTGTGTACTATGAAGTGTGCTTTAAAAAAAAAGGTTGGGATCAGAGGCTCCATTACCCTCTGCTGGAGACAAGCAGAACTGCTCATCACCAATTTTGTCCTGCTTCTCACTGTGAACACAGTGTAGAAATACTGGATTCCTAAGGTGATTTACCAGAAGTCCTACTTACTTTCTGGACAAGATATAACCTACTTCAAGGTACAATGTGCTTTCTGAAATATCAGCTTTCTTGGCTGAAGTGGAAAGTAATAAATTCTAAATTCTGAGCACACGAGAACTTTTGAATATGCATGTTTCTCAGCTCTTGCTACTTCTTAGAAAATAAGGTTTCATAATAGTTGTACTTCTGTTGCCTCTAATGATGCTTCTGAGTTTTATTCTATTCAAGTGCATGGTAAAATGCAGATGTAGAGCCCTAGATGAGGGTTATATATGTGTAGGTTGTGTTTTGAATGAAAGGTGTCAGTCGGGTGCATTACATTTGCACTGAGTAGTCAACAGTTTGGAAGCTCTGTAAGGCCCAACCGAGACTAGTTTATATCCAACACTTCAGATCAGGTTGAGGGCAGGATTTCCACCAAACATTTTCTATTTGGGAGTGTACTAGCAATGGTTTAAACGATCCAGGTCTCCTAGGCACCCTCTCTTTCCTTTTCCTTACTTGATCTTCCATAGCTACATACAGCCCTTGTTACTGCACTGTCTGAACACCTCACAGTCCGTGTCCATTGCCCTCCCATTAGCTGGAGAAGTATTTTTATTCCTTCACAGGGATACCCAAAAAGGAATGTGTCCAAGGTCACCAAGGAAGCCTGTTATAGAGCAGGGAACTTGAATAAACCTGAATCTAGGGAGCTTTTGAAACTTCTGTCACATCCCAGGGAGAGTATGATAACTGCCAGGACACAACCCACTATGGAAGTGGCCCTTCACAATCCCTCATGGTGCTTCTGAGAAAGGAATGTGGGACCTCCTAGGGACACTGAGAGAGAATAAGTAGAAAAAAGCCTGATGTTTAGGTCAATTAGAAGAACATTCCCTCATAATCAGGGAGTCTCAGTTCCTATTCCTAATCTGTTACTGTATTCAACTCCATGTATCTTTAAGCAAAATGTGTAAATGGTGCCTGGAGACAGAACAGGAATTTGGTTTATCTCCCTGCCATGGGGATACTGGGTATGGCCACATTGTGTGGAAACAGGAGTGGTAGGCTTGAAATCCCTCAGGATGAGGCGGGTCTAGAACCCAAATTACTTGCTGCTTTTCTGCAACAGAGCTCTAACAGCTAGCCACTTTGTTGACTAATTTTTGAGTACATGAAGCATGAGCTGAACGCCCATGGTCAGATCTTTGCTTTCCCAGATTGAGACTTTGGGTGGTTTTTTAGATGATCGCTCATTCTTACGGTGCTTGGAGTGGTAGTGGTCTGAATAATTCTGTGAGGCTGAGGTAGCTAGTTCTACCTGACTCTGGCCTTAGACAGTTAAGAGCAGCATCTACTGTTTCCAGGAGCTTTGCAGCTGTATTATTTCCAACATAAGCCTGAGGTAAGCACCATTTTGGTACTTACCGAAGAGAGCCTGTAGGTCTGATCAGATAAGTGGCTTGAAAAATGTTTCACAAGTTACCGTCAGCTTCTAGTCCTGCTTTGGAAGAGTGGCATTCAACATTTAAACTGTAGTTCTGCTCTGGTCCTCGAGATGAAAGGTTCCTTTGTTATCCCCTTGTGGTTCTTAATCTCAGCTGCATCCGTCATGCAGCTTGAATAAAAGCAGGTCTTCCATGCAGGCTTCTAAAAGCTGATCAGAAAATAGATTACAAAATTCTTTTTCCTTGAAACGGCTCTATTACTGACCATCTTCTATTCTGCTGTTCTTGGTATTGCATTTTCTGTTTTCCTGTAAAAGAAAATGGTTTCATGAGGTTTCTTTTCAGTGAGACAAATGAGCAAGCTTGCAGACTGTGGAGGAAACAAGTTCTAATGGTTAGTTCACATTTGTGTTTACTTCTTTAGGAATGACCATGGAAGTGCTTGGGACCTTGATTGGTGCTGCACTTCAGGGGCAGATTGTGGCCAGTGCTCATGTCTCTCATCACTGCACTGTGAATCCCCCAGTAAACACAACTGACTCCTGGCATGACACTCCCAGCTTTCCAGACCCCTCAGATCCCCTGTCTCATCAAGTAAGTATCTATGGGAGCATGCTAAAATCTCTAACGGAGAGGGGTGGTGGTATTTCTGTAATACCATATCATATCACCCAGCCTGGTGAAAATAAACATGGCTTCCTTGAAATCAGTAATGCTGGAGCTGAGACAAGGACCTTGTTGTGAACAAGACTTCCCATCTGTTGTCTCTGCAACCACTTTTCTGTGGTGGCAGCAGATTTACACTGATGAGCTTTGCTGAAGACACCAAAATGTAAAGTAGCTAGGAGGTACACGGCCATCCTCAGTTTTCACTGGGGCTGATTAACAGTTTATAATAGAAGCTTAGTAAGAAAAGTTTACTTTACCCTGCCAGGAATGCTGGATCCTGGGGTCCGCAGCACAAGAAGGACATGTGCCTGTTAGAGCAGATCTCGAGGAGGGCCACAAAAATGGTCAGAGAGTGGGAGTACCTCTCCTGTGAAGAACAGCTGAGAGAGTTGGGGTTGTTCAGCCTGGAGAAGACTCGACTCTGGGGACACTATTGTGACCTTTCAATATCTAAAGGGGACTTACAAGAAAAATGTAAAAAGACTTTTTATGAAGGCCTGTAGTGACAGGACAAAGGGCAGAGGTTTTAAACTGAAAGAGGGGAGCTTTAGATTAGAATTAGGAAGAAATTTTTCCCTATGAGAGTGGTGAGGCACTGGCACAGGGTGCCAGAGAAGCTGTGGCTGCCCCATCCCAGCAGTGTTCAAGGCCAGGTTGGACACAGGGGCTTGGAGCAACCTGCTCTAGTGGAAGGTGTCCCTGCCCATGGCAGGGGTTTTGGAACTAGGTGAACTTTAAAAGTCCATTCCAACCCAAATAATTCTATGACTCTGTGAAAAAAATGGTGGCTATAGCAGGATTTTTCAGTTAAGCAACAGTGCTTTTCAAAGGAGTTATTACTGGGGATCTCCTGTAAAGATTAATGGCTGTTATGTGAACGAAACTGGAAGTCCTACTTGGATTCTGTATTCTTGCGAAGGTACAAAGCACTGTTGAAAGTAAATGGTTGCTAACAGGCAATTAGTGGGAGCAGGGCTCAGTGTTTAACACATGGAATGAACCTAAAGAACCATGCTTGTTTATTTCATTTTCCACAGCAGATTTTTCCTGTAATCCTGCACAAGTAATTTAATCTCTTCATGCTTCAATTTGCTATTTTTTGAGAAACAGAGAAGGTTTTTTATCTATGAGGAAATCCTAAAAGCTGATCCAAATTTCGGTGAACATAATTTGATAATCTTCCATTGTTTCCGGTGATCTTGAAACAGGACCTGAATCAGTTACCTTGTGTAGTGGTTTGGGTTTTTTCTGTGTCACTTGTGAAAACATCAGTTCATTAGTTCCATTTTACCAATTGCTAGGTTCAGTGGTTTTATATTTTCATCTATTTCTCTGTCAGTGCATATGTATATGTGATATATATAGTAATATATAAGACTCCCATGAAGAAGATTCCTTGACCTGAGTCTAACCTCATGTGCGTGCTGCAAACCAAGATGTACATATTCATGCTCTGCTTATTGTAGCTGAGTATCTCCTATTACCACTCTTCGACAGCAGTAAACAAGATTTCTGAATATGCTTGAGTATTTCACAAAGTAGCTGGGGTAACAAGCATGCAAATAACTATATTCTCAGAACATTGACATGAAAGTGGGATTTATAAAATTTATTAGAGCCTGAAAGAAGTTTTCTTACTATCCTATTATACATAATACAGGAACTGTACTAATTATGTTTGCATCAGCACTGGGGCCTTCCCCACCTAGCACGAAGATACAGACTGCAGTCCGTGTAACTGGATCAGCTGGTTTTTAGTAAAAATCAGAATCACTCCACTGATGCTGCACGTTTTTCATAGACCTCTGTTTGTGTCTGCAGCTAGTCTCACAGCTTCTTTTTAGTTTTGCAAGAAATCTATACTTATGTGCCTTGGATTTATCCTAAAGTATGTGTTGTTTTTAAATGTCCTGCAGAAGTGAACATTTTTCAGAGAGGTAGAACACAGGCTTTCTGTAGAGAGGCATTTCTTCATTTGCAGATGGCTCACCAGAAAGAGGCTGAGATTTTTGTAATGGCTTGTCATTCTTCTGTCACAATTTCAAATACGCCTTTTTTCTTTTCAAAGGCAAAAGTTTATTTGATTGCAGCAGGGGTCATAGGAAGTGTGTATCTTCTTGGAATTATCATTCTTTTTCTTGGAGTAAAGGAAAAAGATGGTAAGATATATTTAAATTTGCCTAGATTTAATAATAATTATTTCACATTCATCTCCAGAAAAGATTGTTATTTCATGTATTTTGCTTCTCTCAGATCCTTACGCCTTAAATTCAGACAGAGCAATTCCTTTTTGTAAGGGGCTTGGACTCACCATGAAGCATGGTCCATACATGAAGCTTACAGCTTCATTTCTTCTCATCTCGACAGCAGTTCAGGTAACTTCAGACTCTCTTAAGTCTGTGTGTTGGCCTCATTCCAGTCTCAGCATGGGAGAGTCTGCAGCAGCTGAAATGCAAATAACCTTTGGCTGTTGTCTGGAGGTGCTGATCTGGGGGGTGGTGCCTTTCCTTGCAAATCAGTCAGGAACCAGAGTCCTTTTTTCTGGTGCCTGGGGTCCTGTGCATCTGGAGATGGTCCTTTCAAAGGAGAAGCAAAGCCAAAGTCCTGACCATTGAAAGATGGCTTGCTTTTTTTTTGCCTTTTTTTTTTCCCCTCCATAAAAGGTGAGGAACTAGTCCTAGTGACCGAGATTGGGTCATTATACGTTATCCATCCAGTCTCCTGTGGTTTCAGTTGCTTAAAGAATGCTTTTTCTTTTCTCTCTGTTCTTCTCTATAGTGTGAGCCCCTTTAAACCATTGCCCCTTTCCTTTGTATAGGTGGCTGTTCTCAGATAGTGGCTGAACTGGTTCTTATGGAGTCTTTATGGTAGAAAGCAGTAGGTCAGAGTAAGATAAGATGATGTTCAGAGGCAGGAGGTCTTACCTGGCTCAGGGCTAGATAGAGTTAATTTTCAAATGAGGACCTGCAGTTGAACATGGCTCTTGCAAAAAGAGGTAATACATCTTCCCATAGAGAGAAGCAGTAGAAAAACTTAGAGCCACTAAGAAACCCTTATTCCCCACAGCCCAGCAGTCTTTTTGAAGCTTCATTTTTGATCTATGTTAAAAACAGGAAATACGTTGTTTTATTGTGAATCTGTACATATCAGTTGAAGTTGGCTTTATCTTGAAACACAAATGTATTTTTGTCAACAGATTCTTAGTCACATGAGCCATTGATCGAGTGAGTATCAGGACAGAGGACGAGAACAGGGCATATAAGAGAGCAATCCTGGTGGATTTGTAAATTCCTCGGAAGGGCTGTTTAAAAGTCTGTTTCCCCAAAAAGCATGGAAGTTTCAGGCTGGCCTGGATACGGACACAGTTAGTAGGCTGCATATCCTTTGCAGCATCTGTCAGTCGTTGCTGGAAGGCCCTAGGGTAAGAAACAATAGCAGAAGCATTTCTGCTTATATCTGGGAGCTGCAGGCATAGCAAGCAACAGCCAGAGATAGAGAGAAGATAAAAGATCACTTATGGTCCAGATCCTTCCAGCTTCCACTCAGTAAGGATACAGTGTACATTTGGTTGTTGGTAGCCAATTACTTGTTGAAAATACATAGAGAAGGAAAGATCTTCTGGCCATCCATATCTCTTCATTTTTCTTTTTGAACAAACTGAAGGGAAGGTGTGAGGGGAGGTAGAAGCTGGAAGCTCTATTGCTCCAGTTCAGCCATTGTTTTTCAAGGGAGGGCACTGACTTTGTGGAATTCAGTTAGTGGATTACTGGTGATCAAAGGAATAGGCAGGTAAAGATGCATTAGCCACTATCCCAGAGTGTGATATTCTACATCCGAAATGAAGGCAGTGTAAACTAGGTCACAAATGAGGGAAGGCTTTGGTGGCGATGGAGAAGGGATATAACTTTTATCCTAATTTGTATGTAGATGACTGGCCACTTTTAATCTACAAGTGCACAAAGGAGCAAGAGTTGATCATACTGCTATGGCATGAGTATTAAATCCTGCTCAGGCACTCCCCTTCTGCAGAGTTGCTGGGGCTGAGCCTGAACTGTATTCTGATGTTCAGAACCCTTTTGAGTTCTAAAGAAGCGTGGTGGCAGTGACTTCATCTGTCATAACACAGAGCAGCTAGATCTTCCATCCAATGAGTATTCAAATGGGAGATACCTAACCCAAAGCTACACTCCATAGCCAAGGCCATATACAAACCCAGCAGTTAGCTGCTTTACTACAGGAAGCTGGCATGAGCATAATTCCAGCTGAAGAGTAACTTGTTTCAAAGTCAGAGCTCCTGGTGAAAGATGCTGTATTAGGTGCATGGTTTACCTCTTGCTTGCTACAACACAATTGGCATGTTACTCCAGTGATAGCAGGAGAGTTGTTGCTATTTTAAGTTGTTGCAAATGAGGGAAGAATGAGACTCCCAAATTCTACATTTAACAGGTAAGTCACCAACTATGGCTGGTATGGAGTGTGACATCATTTTTGTCCTTTTTAATTTTCCTGTCTTTTTTGGTGGTCACTAAATGTCTTCAACAGCTGGAGCAGAGCAACTTTGTCCTATTCTGCACTCACGCTGCTGATCTTCGCAATCACTTCCAGTATTTGGTGGTGACTATCTTGGTGAGTTCCACTTTTCTCTCCCGTATTTTTGTGTGGTAGCTGGTTCTCACTGGTTTCTGGCACAAAATAATGAAGACAAGAAGAGTTTTGTGTCTAGACAGAGCTGTTGAGAAGCTACACCATCTTTTGCATTGCCTGTTTGGAATAAAGCTGGTGTTCCCTGCTGTACTTCTATGAAGTTTATGCTTTGGAACTTTTAATTTATTCCTTGTTGCTTTTACCTGTCAGTCACTTTCTGCTCCTATAAAGGGCAAAAGCTGCTGCCAGAAAGGAGGTCTGGAATTTTAACTCCTTTTCCCTTTCCCCAGTCTGATATGCTGAAAATTAAACAACTTTACTTTGTGTATTCATACATATGAACCTGGGCTAGGCAGCTTGCAAGGATAAATATTTAAAATATCCAGAGATACAAAGATTCCTCTCCAGAGCAATTGGCAATGTGATAAAAAGGTTCTTTTTAGGGAAACTTTTTTTCTTGCAGATGTAGAATTCTGCTTGCTTAGGTGATACTTATAATTCAGTTACACACTGCTCTTGTATTGCATGATTTACGTTATGATTACGAGTGGTATTAGTTGAAAACTCACATTTTCATGCTTCTAGCCAAAGTCCATTTAACATAAGTATAACATTTAAAGTTGCATAATTACTGGGATGTGCATGTACTGCGATCTTGAAATATTCTGTAGAGAATTTGTCTACCATGTAGAATATGGCAGCAGTCATTTTCAGGGAAGCTGTTGCATGATTTCTGACCAGTTTGGCAAAATTGTAGAACCATGGTAGGGAAACTTCATTTCCATTTCTTTGTCATAGCCTCCCACCCTTTCTACCCCTTTTTGATTCTTCCTTCACATTGTAAGACAGATCTTTTCCAGTGACTAAAACCAAAATGTTGGAGAGCGAGGGATGACTGTTTGGCATCTTGAGGCTCTGCAAGTAGTGGACACCAAGCAGAGACACAAGAGACAGTAGAGTTAAAGTCAGTGAAGAGTGGAAGATGACTTAACAATGAGATGACATTTGAATTTAGTTAAATTATGACTGTCATTAGTGGCAATACTTCAGTGCATTGTTACTATGCTGCCTGTGGTTGCTAGTGCTACCAGGTGAGTATTAGAGTATATGAAATGGTAATGTTGACTGTAAGCAGCTATGTCTCTCAGAGGTTGTTCCTAAGAAGAAACATGTTGTATGGGATATGTACTGTAAGTATATCTTAAGAAAAGTGTATGTTGTGCTTCAACTTTCTTCCTGTATGATAACGTAGAGCTTAATTTACTTATCATTTGTGAGGTCCAGAGAATGAGGCAAAACACATTAGCACGAAATATGACTGTTTGAACTTTAATGACTGTGTCATATGTAGCTTTAACTGAGGTGGCTTACATTAGGAAAAGGAAATTTTAGGACACAGCCTTCTGATAACGTGATTGTGGAAAACCCTCTTAGGTTTTTTGTTTGTAATAATATATAATAGTGAATAAAAAACAACAACAACAAAAAAACAAACAAAGGATGAGGAGAAACAGGAACCTGCAAGTTCACCTTCCTTTCAGGCTGTAATGTATTAGACAAAAAGATGTCAGTGAGCTTTACAGCTGAAGACAACCACGGCAGTAAGCACCATGTAGATATGGTTTTTTGTCCACTGTAGGTATCAGCAGCTGTGAGCATTCCCTTCTGGCAGAAGACTCTGCAGCGATTTGGCAAGAAGTGTGCAGCATGTGGGATTTCGGTAAGCAAATCCCTTGAGAGAAAGATCTGCTTGTGCTCACTTCATTTGAAAACTGGAGCCACTTCAGGAGCTCTTTCAAGTGTTTATAACCTCAAGCTACATGAAATTTGCTCAGTTTCAGAGTTCTTTTTAAATCATTATACCAACTTCCAGACAGATTCCAAGTTTCCAAGAGAAACTTCTGAGAAATTGATTGATGCTGAAGGGAAGCTCCAGTTTATTTAAGAATCGTTGCAAGCTCTGCATTTATCTGCACTCAGAAGTGAACCCCAGTGAGGTTTTGTCAATCTGAGGCAACACAAATCTGAGTTTATAAGTTATCTGTTGTACAAAGCTTGTTTTGTCTTTGTGTATGGTGCTGAGTTGACCACATCTGTAGTTCAGTGTCAGAGGAGGAAACAAGGCTGTTACACAGCCTTCACCAGAAATATGAGAAGGCAGAGGTATCCACATCCCTCTGAACAGAGATGGACGTGGACAGTTATTAGTGAAGTAGAGAAACAGGTGACCTACCTGAGAAAAGAACCCCAGTTTAAGTATGACACAGCTCTGCAAATCCAGCTCAGTGAGCCTGACCTTATCTCTGATGGATTATTTTAAGTCCTTCACTTAGTGCGAACAGCAGCAATTTTCTGTCATCATCCTCAGTGAGTCATTGTGTAGGCCTGTTCCTCCCTATTTTTCCCCTGTTTACCTTCAGTTACTTATGAAAGAGAAAAGAAAAATTGTCTGCCTTGTGCACAACAAAGCATGAGGACTTGGAAAATCCAGCCTGAAGCTGTATGTCAAAATCTGAACAAAGCTGAAAAATTTAGGTCTGGTGACAATTATTGAATATAATTGAACAGTTATAATTTTTGAAATCAAGATCTGTGTGTTGGAATGACTTTCAAAGAATCAGAAGTAACTTTAAAACCCAAGTTCCAAATATGCTGAATTGTTATGTGTTTTGAAGTTTGCATCTGGTATCCAAGTCCCATCCTCATTTCTTTTTACCACTTAAGCAAAGACAATTGCCAAAAGCAGTACTGGACCACTGACTGGACCAGGGAATGCAGATTTCCTCCTTAGGAAATCTCCTCTGTCTAATTGGCTACAAAATAAGCTTTCTTCAACCAACTTGCCTCTGTAAATTTAGTTTAACATGACTGGAAAGCCTGTCAGCACCTCTGTAAACATGGTTTAACTTAATTTTACAGTCCAGTTGGTTGACCGTATTATGGTCCAACTGGGGGCTGGATTGAAAAAAGTAATCTCTCTATTTCACCTTGTAGATGTTTCTCAAGGGACTCGTGTGCTCAGTGATGGATTTTGTGTCTGGCAATGCATCACAGGGGCTTCCTATACTACCACCTTGTGTGATCGGTACAACTAATCTATTCTCTCACTGTGAAATAAAATCACATCATTTAAGGCTCCTGCATTTGTCATTGGAGGACATCCTTCTGAAAGGGAAGGAGACAGGGCAGAAAACAATGTTTTTTTTTCCTACAAATCTTTACTCAGCTTTCAGGGTGAAGATATAATTTGAAACTCAGTTTCCAGGGCGGGGGGGACCACACTGTCCAGACTGATTTTCCTTGTTAAAGTGATTCTGTGTTGAAGAGACCCTTGAAAGAGTATAGAAGGCAAGGCAGGTAGATAAGCAACAAGAATCTTGGCTTCCTTCACAAGAGATGACCAACAGTTTAAGTACTGACTAAGTATCTGAACTTCCTAGAAGTTTAAAGCTTAGACCTTCTGGAAGTACAGGGTCATACCCAAGGAGGATCCTTGATAGCATTCTTCCCATGATCAGGCTGGTGCACAGGCTAGAGATTATGCTCTTCTGCTTCTGTGTGCTGTGTTCATTTGGATTGTCTGCTCTGCCCTCATGGGGCAAATGTTGAACTTAAGATCAATAAGTCTCTCAGCTGGTGACTGGAGGTGAAGTTGTCATGAGAAATTTTAAGAAGTGTGCAGCTTTTTGGATCATGGTTTTGACAAGGTGTCCAAAAGAGGAAGATCACTCTCTGTCACAACTCTAGCTTCCATCCTAGCCAATAGTAGCTTTGACTGTGGGTTTTGAAGGATTTAGTTAAAAATGAAAGCAAATCCAAAAATGCCATCAATCTTTTCACCTTCCCACATATCCACTGTTGTTTATTTGCCATCTATCAGCACTGCGCAGCATGGAGGCACATCCTTGGAGGAATCGTGGCTATGCAGCCCCTTTTCCCCTCTCCTGTTCCCATTTCCACTCACATCCTAGCTGCACATTTTCCTTATTTGCTTTTCATAATATGCTGCTGCCCAGGCCAGTAGCACCTTTAGCATCCCAGAAGAGTCACCTTCCATAGTGCTATCAGGGAATGGATGGAAGACACATGATAATTGTAGGATATTGTTTATGACTCAGAGGGCAGCAGCTTTGTGACTAGGGGGCAGGTTGCCAATAATGGAGTATTTGCTTTACAAGTAGGAAAGAAGGAGATGCATTAGCTGTTTATCGCAGCAGGAACACTGCCCCAGTGATTCTGCTACCATTGCACTAGTGAGACTTTAGGGCATTGTAGCCTCAGTCCTCTAGGCCGTGCTTCTCTTTCAATAGAAAATTACACTTAACAATGATAATTACTATTATCAATCTAGACTTTTGTTTAAGTGCTTTGTTTTCTGGGTGGGTGCCCCACGTGGAGCATAAGACAGTCATAAAATTGGTTATAGGCAACATAAAATCTTGTATTGATGGAGTGCTCTCTTGTGGTGAAATAACGATTTTGCTACACCATTGGGCTAATGCAAGGAGTATCTGTGCTGGGAACCTGCAGTCAGGAAAGGTTATTTTCTGTCTCCTTAGGTTAGGATCAAATGCTTTAGATGGGAAATGCATTTAAAATATAAACATAATGGATTAGACTCCAAGACTCCCAGAATCACTTACCATACAGTACTGCAAATAGCAGTGGTTAGGGGAATCATTCTCTGTGAAAGCTCTTCTCATACCTTCAGCTCCCGAGCTGCAAGTATAGAGGATTGGAACACTTAATGTTAAACTAATCCCCCATCATTAAAAAGCCCTGTAGATAAGCCCTTGGTTCTGAATTCTACATGTGCTGTGCCCATGGTTCACAGGTGTGGGAGATGGAGCACGTGGTGGGTATGGGATAGGTGAGCTGTATGCATTCAATCAGCATTTGAAAGAGTGGATTTTCACTCCTGTAAGCCCATGGCTTCAAGATGAAGTTGAGGAAATCTGGTGACATATCTGACTGTGGAATGGAGTAAACCACACTGCCTTCTTGGTTTTAGTTATTACCAAGTACCTAGATTGCTTTAAAGTGGTCATTGGAAACAAATGTGTAAGCAAACTCTTCTTCATTCAAGACCCAATACGATCTGCAAAATGGGGTGTTCACAGTTTAAAATGACTACTGAGCCCCTGCCCTTCCCCTTGAAATGCAGTGTAATGATGTTTCAAGGTTTTTTCTGTAATAGTAAATTAAATAGTTCCACTGACCTAGAATAGAAACTGATGTTTGGTCATCTCTCTTACTAAACTGGCAGAAATACCTAATCACAAGCTGACGAGCCATCTCCCAAGAAGAATCTGGCGACAGCCTGGGAACTAGCCCACTTAAGCACTCCAAAAAGTATTTATATGGCAACACTTCTTTTGGAGACTATGAATGTTTAGGAGTATGAATGTGGCAAGGGTCTGCCAGTTGGCCTCATGGTTGTTAAATAGGCAGTTGGAACTTTTTAATTTACTAGTGCAGTTATAGCCCTAATACTGCTAACAGAAAAGGCACTACCATGGCTTGTCCTGTTTTTCTCTGATTCTTTTGGATAGGTAAATACAGATTGTCTCAGGGCTCTCCAAAATACTGAAGTATTAGGCATTGCTGTGTGTGAACTGTTACATAACACAGTCTTGTATTTTGAAGGAAACAATCTTTATACCATTGAGCAGTGCATACTGTTAAGTTAGATGTACTGTTTTTCTTCTCCCTCAGTGGATGATTCCTTTTGCAGTCATGCTAGTCACCATTCCAAACCTCATCCTGGCTTACTTTGTGGCCTTTGTGTCTGGTCTGAGCATCGCAGCATCTCTTCTGTTGCCATGGTAAGAGAATTTTATATTTGAGGTGGGGAAGAGGTATATGTCTACATTACATGTGTATACTACTGCATGGAATTTGCCTCCAAAAGAGAGAGAATTTGGCGAGAGTCACTTCTTCCAAGAATCTTTTTCTGCTTTTATAATAGATGCTATTTGCAATAACATGACTTCAGTTGCCCTGTTGTTAACAGATTGCATCTACTGTAACTGTAGTGGCTCTTTGTACGTAAGAGTGTGAAGATGAATCGATAATCTAAGAAGCTATAGAGCTATAGACAACAGTAAATCAGATGCTTAGATTGGTTTGTAATAGAACTAAAGCAATGATGAGTTAGATAAATCAGTTAATGCTGAGCACTTAAGAACATAGCATAATCGTAACTATGTATCTCTGCTTGAGCAGGCAGTCCTCTCTTGTAGATCAAATAAAACAAGGATATGATTAAAAGAAACTGAGAATTCAAGGTCCTTGGCTGTAGAAGACTGAAAATATGTGGGGGAAAAGACTGCTGAAGGATGAGCAGGATGGGACATGTCCTGTCCAGATGAAATAATTATCATTCAGGTCAAATTGACCAGAAAGTGAGAGGGTTGCTGAGAGCACTGTTTTTGTGTTACTCACTTGCACAATGCCCTAAAAACTCCAAGAGATCATGGAAACATAGTTTAAATAAGCTGTCAGACTACATAAGCTTTTCTTCACAGAAGGTGAGAAGCCCTTTTTTTCCAGGAGTAAATCACGACATATACTGGAAATAAAATGTCAATTCACAGTTGACACTTGAACAGCTTCCAGTCTGATTCCCCATTACCAAATTCAGTTTCTTTGACGTAGAGAGAGAATAGGCCTCACTGGTTTCTGAAAATTTTGTTAGCTTGTCAAAAGAGTTATTTCAGAGTAAAACTGTTCAGAGATTGAGTCCCTTGAAATCTTAAGGAACATGGGGTTTTGTTGTTCTTATTTTTTTAATATCACAACTTCTGATTGGAATGACTGTCAGTCTAAACAATTCTGTCACCTCCCAGCAAGTGTTTGATAGTTTTTCAGTGTTTTTCTACTTTGTAATATGTGGCCATGCATTTCTTACATGGTTTTTTACCCTCTTGTACAGCAGCAGGAGTTTTAGAACTGGATTCTTTCATGTGCATGTCTACCTCAGTCAGATTGTAAAAAAGGAGAAGGGTGTACTCTTCTGGTAATTTTAGACTTTGAGAAGAAATTTTGGCTTGTGTTTTTCTTTTATCTTGCTCATCTCTAGGTCAATGCTGCCTGATGTTGTTGATAACTTTCGCCTGCAGAATCCTCATGGAAAAGGATATGAAACTATTTTCTATTCTTCTTATGTTTTCTTTACCAAGATGTCAGCATTTTCTTAGGAATTTCTGCAGCGGGACTAGAGTAAGTAACACTATGTTTCCACTCAGTGGAAAGCATTCTGAGGTTACTCTGCCTTTACCCTGTGGAGTTGATTGCCTTTTTGCCCTGATCCTGAAAATGTCAGCAGCTCCAGATGGCTGACCACTAAAGACGGGATTGTTATCTAGGCCAGACCACTAAGCATTAAGTCGCCTGCCTTAACATGTTTCAGTTCAGAAAGACCTGACTTCTCATTAGATTTTTCTTCTTTCCAAATTATTCCTGTAAATTTTAGTGGCCTATATGAATAAAGAACTAAACCTGAAAGCTTAGCAGATGAAGGTCCCGTGTGAGTGATACAGCTGCTTTGTGCATTTCCTGTTGCATCTGGGTTGGACTACATATACAAGCTTGTTAAGTCTTTTCGTGGATTGGAGTGCTTTCAGGGGTGCCTAGTGGGTTGTTCAGCCACCAATTCCTGCATGGTTTTAGGGAACTGGATGCCAATCAGAGTCAGGAACAGTCTTTCTAACAGCTCTGCCCATCACCTAGAGCCATGTCAGTTTGGAAGATGCTTTGTGTTCTCCTTCCACTTCTGCCTTGTCTGTTCTGACTAGACAGTTAGGCTGAGAAGTGGTCAGCCATCTTCTGCCCTACTTTTGTGCATGACCTAGCAGAAAGGGCCTTTGTAGCTTCTTCAGCACACAAGCACACAATAAACACTTGTAAGGGAACTTGTCTGAAATACTATCTAGCCCTTGGCTCCAAGTTAGGTTTTAGTAAGCAGAATGTTTTGCTTCAGGGCCTTCAGCTGAAACTGCTAAATAATAGGCAGTGCTTGGCTGAACATTTTGGGCTTAGGAATTTTAGATGTTTACTGTTAACACCCTCAGACAAATCACTGTTCACCCATTTTAATTGCATTCCATTTAGCTCCCAGCAATTTCCCAAGGCAGATGTTTGTGGGAGAACACAGAAGACAGTGATGCCAAATGAGCTGTAGCTTTCATAGGTGCATGTTCAGAGGAAAATAATCTCATTCCACAAATTGGGAAAGGGAATTTGAGTGTATCAGCAGTTGTGGAACTGCATGGAAACCCTGAATCAATGAACTGCAAGTGTTTACCTTACTCTAAGCACTTGAGTAAATTTGTCTATCTTGAGAAGAGTGCTTAAGGGTGTGTTTAATTTAAAGTTAATTATTGCTATTGAAATTGGTCAGATTACTTGCATACTTTTAAAGAGGAGCTTAAACAGTTTGCTGAATATTAATAGGCAACACATAAAAGAGCGATTTCCTTACATGGGATTCCACACTTCTCTTAGTAGTTAAATGTCACATAATGGGAAAATACAGAGGTAATGCAGTTATCTGAAATTGAGAACAAAAAATGAGATTTGAAATGTCGGGGCGGGGGGAAGGGGAGAGGAAAAAAGAGAGGAGTAAGAAGAAATGGGGGAAAATTCTTGACGTGTGTTGGGGGAAAGAAGGGAACCTCCAGATGAACAACTCCCATTTAGCTTTGGACATGCACACACACCACTGTTACTTCCATTTGTTTAGGTTTACTGGATACAAGCCAGGGATATGCAGACAATCCAACGATGTGATCCTTACACTGAAAATCCTCATTGGAGCAGTCCCTGCTATCCTCATCCTTGTAGGCTTATTTATACTCCTTTTCTACCCGATCACTGAAGAAAGCCGGAGAGAAACAAAGCTTGCACTTGAGGTGTTAAGGTAGGTTTGAACTGGCAGTAAACAGCAGTAACATCACTACAGCAGCTCACATTCATACTGGGCAAAAAATTGTTAATTTCCAACATACACCTCTATATTCCTTACAACAAAACAAAATAACACTCTATTAGTTGAATTATGGAATGAATGGTACTATTATGTGCTCCAGCATCTTATTTTTGTAGTGTGTACTACCTGCTTAGAGGGCTATTTGTTAGATATGTCAGATATCTTTTACTTTTTCTCTAGTATGGTGCACAAAGCACTGTTGCAGTACTGTTTCAAGCCAGCAATGAAGAATATTCTACGTAGATAAAATGCAATTTACTTGTATATAGAAGAAAATGGGATTCCTGATTGCATTCTTAGTGCTTGTGACATACAAGAAACATCCAAACCATTTCAGAGGCGTAGGCAGGAAAGATTGTGGGAGAAAATGAAAGGACAGCTTTGAGCTGTTCTTTCCCTTTTTACCATATTGCTGTACCTTCCTCTCCTTTGTTCCATCTCCAAAGAAAATCTTGCGTAGCTCAAAATCATCCACCTCTGTCAAATGAAGCCTTGATATGCTGAGGACATAAGTAAGAACAGTCTATCCTAGCAGACTGATGGATTAAATAGCAAAATATGTTGTTACTCTGTCTTGGTTTTATTATCCCAATTTACTGGAATTGGAAATGGATTTTCATGCTAAGGGAACAATTCCAGGGCATGGGCATGAGCATGGGTGTCTGGGACCAGTTCATTGCCTGACGGTATCTAAGATACCTCAGTTAGAGAGTATTGTGTACAGTTCTTGTGTCCTCAACATAAAAAGGACATGGAGCTGTTGGAGCAAGTCCAGAGGAGGGCCACGAGGATGATAAGGGGGCTGGAGCACCTCCTGTATGAAGACAGGCTGAGAAAGTTGGGGCTGTTGAGCCTGGAAAAGAGAAGGCTGCATGGAGACCCCATAGCAGCCTTCCAATATCTGAAGGGGGCCTACAAGGATGCTGGGGAGGGACTCTTCATTAGGGACTCTAGTGGTAGGACAAGGGGTAATGGCTTCACACTTAAACAAGGGAAGTTTAGATTTAGCTATAAGGAAGAAATTCTTCACAGTGAAGGTGGTGAGGCACTGGAATAGGTTGCCCAAGGAAGTTGTGAATGCTCCAACCCTGGCGGTGTTAAGGCCAGGTTGGACAGAGCCTTGGGTGACATAGTTTAGCGTGAGGTGTCCCTGCCCATGGCAGGGGGGTTGGAACTAGATGATCTTAAGGTCCTTTCCAACCCAAACCCTTCTATGATTCTATGGGGTTGGCAGATATGCCACAGGCCTCTCATGCACCAGCTGCCTTCTTGAGAGGCAGCTGCAGACCAGAGGCGATAGGCTAAACCATCTCAAACAGGACTGTTCCCCCTGATTAGGTACTTCAGTCACTGTTCAGAACAACTGCACCTTGCTGGTGGTGCTCGATTGTTTGAGATTGCCAAACTGTAGTTCGGTTACTTAGCAATAAAAGCCAGAAGTCTGTTCATGTATCATTTGTTCTGCTTTTAACAGGAGGAGCCATCAAAGCACAGAGAACCTGGACAAAGAGGACACTTCCGTCTGAAAGCTCTGAATATGATGACTTTCCAAACACAGTCTCACTTCTCATGCACAAACTCTGTGAGAGTCTCCCAGGTCATTTCTCTGCTCGCATTTTATCAAAAAGGATAAAGGAGGATTCTGACACAGTCAGAAATGAAATGAAGAGAGAATACCACAGTGCAAAAGAGATATGTCACTCCATGCACTGTGCTAAAAAAGACATTACAGATGTTCAGGAATGTGAGCTGTTGAAGGCTTGGGGTTTTTTGTTTGTCTTTCGGTGACTAATTGAAAGCTGTGATCTCACTGAAACAGGATATTCTATGGACTTGTAGCTCAGGGGAAAAAAGGCGTAAATATTATGTACCACCCAAATTTTAACTCATCTGATACATTTCACCCTTAGAGGCTGGGATGGATTTTGAACATAATTTCAACCTATAAGTTGCACACTAGTGTGTTTGGAAAGCACTTGGGAATACTATAGTGTTCTATAAAGTTAGGATTTATTTTGTTTTGAAATGAAGCAAATCACTGATGCAGACATGTTTTGAGGAATTTCTCACAAAGAGTTTTTCTGAAAGAGATTTTGATGTAATTTCTAAGTTATATATATATAAGTTTATAACTTACATGAGTTTATAGTTTTTATAAGAAACAGAACCTTACATTTCCCATTACTGGAGTTCTTTGCTCTGAAACCTGTAAACTGGTCTTTGTTAGAGGATGAGTACAGAACATTTTCAAATCAACATCTTCACTCGGGATACCCACAATCAGTATTATCTTCCAAAACTTCCAAGAATAAAGGCCATTCAATTTTCTGGCCTTTAAGTAATCATGATTGTCACCCATTTCTCTCGTGATGTAGGCTTTCTGCCTCACAAAACAGCATGACATGGCTGTTAATCTCATCTTGGACAATGTTTTACAGTAATGAGGCTACACCTGGCTTTTAAATGGTGATTTTTTTCAGTTGGGGATGTCATCGTGCTTTAGATACATTACCTGAAAATTCATTTCTGCTATAGATTCTGAACCCTGCTGATTCCGAACACTG